CTTCTAACTGACCTTCAGTGACGTGGCCTTAAGTGTCAAAAGTTTGGAATAGGTCCAGCAAAAAGCCATTGCTGCTCTGACAACTTTATGTTTGGCTAAAACTCAATGCATATTCAATACTTTACTGCTACCCAGTCTCCCCTAAAGCAATATCAGAATGGGATCATAAATTTACTGTAAGCAATGACTAGAATGCATCAAACATTAGGGATCTCTTCCAGAATCCAGTGGCAGACACTAACTGCTGCTTTTTGTAAGCACTTCCCAGGCAAGTCCCACTCTGGCGCACAGCTGTATTACTATCACAGAAGCTGACAACAGCTTCTTCCTTCTTCTGTTGTTGTTGGCAGACACAGAGACTTCTGTGTGGACATCAGGATATCTGGGTCACTCAGCTTATGAAGCACCCACTATCACCTAGGTTGAAAAAGCTTAAAAATCAAATTCTATTTTTCCCCCATTCTTCCCCAATAACTTGCAAATCAGTTTTCTCAAAGGCAGTTAGATTTGAGAGAAGAGCAAATATTAATCAGGAGTCACAGAGCTAAAAATAACAAGTATAAAGAAATGTGGGATGGTCACTGTTCAGACTGAAGAAGAAGAGATATCTCGTTGGATTGAAAATATGAAAGAACACTCTCATCTTTTCCCAAAATCATATTTCCAAAAAAGGAGGCATTTAAAAAATTAACTTCCGTTAGACTCCTATTATATTACATTAAAAACACAAATGTGAACTCTTTATGAAGACCCTTCCTTGCCTAACTACGACTTACCTAGATTCAGTTTAAGTGTTCTTTCCCAAGGAGGCCCCACCTTCTCTCTCTACACTAAAGTGTTACCTTTATCATGGCTGAGACATGGAATTAAAACTGGTTGAAACAAGGATGCAGCCCCTAAAGCAGATCTGCAGTGTCACAGCCTCCTTCCTGGCTCTTCTTCCTGACCTCTGCAACCTATTCCCGAGCCACCCTGAAAAATGCCCACCCTCATCTTCACCTTCCTAAACCCTCTACAGCCTTAAGGGCTCAGGTAAAAAATAATATATTTCCTTGGCAAGCTCCCAGGTGAGGCCAGGCTCCCTTGAATGGTGATATAACCAAATAAAATATCAGTCAGGCTGCTTTTAGCTGCAAATAAGAGAAAGCATGCCCAAAACTTTACCCCATAAGGAAATGAATTACTGCGTTGTCAGCTATGTTGGGAATTCCCAGGGAAGGCCTGCTTCAGGGATGACTGCCCACAGGCTGAATTCTCTGCCCACCAAGCTGCCCTTCCTACAGCTCCAGCTGATCAGAGATTACAGCCAGAGGGAGGGAGAACATCGCTTCTGGAGCCTTTCCCTTAGACAAGTGATTCCTTTTTCCTCAGAAGTCTCTGGAACATTTCCTCTAATCTCACTGGCCCAAATGGGCTTAAGGCTTCCAATCACATGCTAGTGTTAAGAGGTGGGATAATGAAAATTAATTTACAGTGCTTGCCACCTTGTATTACAACACTACACAACAAGAAAATTGTAGTATTTAGTAGCATACTCTAGGATAATTGGATGGGACTGCTCAGTGCAGAGTCTTGAACTGACCTAAACCTTGACCTGGGGGCTGAAGGGATCAATAAAGGAGCACATCTGGAATGAAGATGTTTCTGGCATGTCAGGGGTATGCTTTGGTTGAAGTCAGGGGGCTTCAAACTACAGTACAAGCACCTGTTTTTGTAAATAAAGTTTTATTGGAACACAGTCATACCTACTCAAAGGTGAGGTTCCTTTTATGTTACAACCCCAGAGCCGAGTAGTTAAAATAGAGAATATATGGTTCATAAAACTGAAAATATTTACTTATCTGTCTCTTAAAGAAATGTCTGCCAGCCTCTGGTTTGGAGTAACAGAGCAGAATAATATTGGCAAAGCAACCACAGTGCCCACTGCTTTGTCTGACACTTTCCTTTCCCACGTATATTATCTCCTTGAATATCTGCCACTCCTGCTAGTTCCCTGGGAGCCATGAACCGTGTCTTTTTAAATTTCTTCTGGTGCCGGGTCCCAAGCATCTAGCACAGGCCATACCCCGTAAATATCTGATGGCTGAGCGAGTGAATGAATGTGCCCCTTAAATAATCTTCATGTGGAAACAGAAGCAATGATTTCTTTCAGGATGTGCTCTAGAAAGAGAGTAATACCTTTCAATAAGGCATGCCAAGAAAGTGCCCCATATTCCACAATAAGGAGGGCATGAACCTTATCGTTAACATTTCCCAACCTCTGGGAGGAAGATGTGGCCACACACTCTCTCTTTTGAGAGGAGGCAGAAGTAAGCTATTCTCAGAAGTGGCAGAGGTCAGTGTATGCCACTAATAGTGAGGCCCAGAGCTCTCCTTACTGAGAATGCTCACCCTCACATGCATGCTGCACTATCCAATCTCAAATTTGCAATCATAATCTGTGATTTCACTCACTCACTGAAGTTCAGCCTTCGTTAGTATTCAGGGAACAGTAACAATTTCTTAAAGATAATAAACATAGGCAGTCCAGTGAGATAGGCATAGTGATCTCTCTATGTTACAGTTTCTCTTTACATTTTTTTTTCTAAAGTAAAGATAACAGAGTCTGAAAAAATAATAGTAATCAGGAGAAAGCAAACTCAATACACTCAAAATGCCTGTTCTGGGGACCTAGAAACAAATTTTATGTGTAAACTAGAGGCCCAGTGCATAAAGTTGTGCACCAATGGGGTACCCCAACCTTTAGGATCAGGCAGAAACCTGCTCTCTGACATCCCCCGAGGGATCCCAGATTGAAGAGGGTGCAGGCCGGGCTGAGGGACCCCCCTCCCCATGCATGAATTTCATGCACTGGGCCACTAGTTTATAAATAAAAAGGCAAAAATTAAAATGACATTACAGTTTTTAAATTACTAAAATGGTTTCAGTGAGTTTAATAACAAGATATTATTACCTCTAGTAAAGAGGCAAGACTTTTTTTTTTTTTTTTTTTTTTGTAATTTTAAGTTTGACATTTTAATCCACAATGCTGAGAAGATATAGAACATTGGGGTGCAGTAATGAAGATAAACAACAAGATCTCCATTTCATTATAACCTGATGATTAGTATAGCAACACACAATAACAAGAGAGATCAGCAGCAACAATATTCCAACCAAATTGAGGCCTGTATGAAACAGCCAAGAAAGGTGCAAACACCAGAGAAAGGAGAATGCTAAGCGCTATGTTAAAATATCACCCTGGGCACAGTTTATTTCCAAAAACAAACAAAAATAAAACAAAATGCTGACAGTCAACTTTATGCCAGCATTTCCCCCTTCAGTTAATTTATGGTAAGCACAAATGAACCCAGACCTAGGAAAGCCTCATCATCCAGGAGGAAGAATGGGCAGTTTGCATTTGGACAAAGTAGGCACCATATTCTCTACCAAAAGAGCAGGTGCTATTTTGAGTGAAGCAGGGTGTTTTTCATTCATAGAGTCAAATAAAAATTGCTTCATTTCAAATTCACAGATCTTTGATAGGGTATCAGATCTGCCCATTTCCCACACTTCTCCCCTCTCCCCCATTATCTAATAGAAACAATTTTATAAACCTATTTTAAACAATTTGGGATATGGTAATACTGCCATTAGACCAATTTCCTCAAAATTTTTATTCTAAAAGTAAAATATTTAATGTGAAAAGTCGATGTTTAAGTTAGTAACTCACTATGCTTTGAAGGTAAAAAACAATCTGTCTATCCACATATTAGGAGAAAATATTTGTTATCACATAACAATGATTCTTTTGGGTTCATAGTTTTTGTTCTAATAACACCAATTTTAGAAGAACATCCTAAGAAAATAATTCAATAGGAAAAGACATATTAATTAAACTACTCATTACTAGTATACTATGGCTTTAAATAACGGAAACTAGAATAAGAAAGAAATAAAGAAGAGAAATTAATGTAGGTTTACAAACCAACTGAAATATTATCCTATCATTACAACTTATAATGGTGAAACCATGTAGTATGAAAAAAAATTATAGGTTGAAACCTAGCCAGTTTTTCTCAGTGGATAGAGCATCAACCTGCAGACTGAAGGGTCCCAGGTTCAATTCTGGTCAAGGACACATGCCCGGATTGTAGGTTTGATCCCCAGTTGGGGGCATGCAGGAAGCAGCAGATCAATGATTCTCTTTCATCATTGATTTCTCTCTCTCTCTCTCTCTCTCTCTCTCTCTCTCTCTCTCTCTCTCTACTTTCCTCTCTGAAATCAACAAAAAGATATTAAAAAATTTATAGATTGCTAAGCAGAATACACTATATCTATACATGATAAATATCTGAAATTTTCTAATTAATACATAGAAAAATTCACGAGCCCCTTCATCAATATGTGAATTCCCACCTCTACAGTTCTGTATGGTCTCCTGATGAAGTCTTCTCACTCATTCCTCCCCTGTGCCTTTGCTCTCCATAATCCTTGCCAGCAAGGTGTTTGTGTCTACTGCCAGAAAATCCTCACAGGTCACTTTCTTCAAATACCAGTTTGATTTTTATCCCTGTCATAAAGCTGCCTATTGCTCTAGAGTGTAGATTGCTATAAACTGCATAGCTCTTACTGTCATTTTCTTGATGGTTTTGTTTGCTTTATTTCTCAGATAGAATGGGAATTACATAGACAACTATTTTTAACATTTGTAATGAGCAATAAACATGATTTTTGAATGAATTAATAAATATAAATACTTCAGAGCAAGGATTATTTATTTTCTTTGTATCTACAATATTTCCCATAATTCAGACAAACAGTTGATTATCAATGACTATTCATTAAAACAGAAGGATAGGTATTGGTATAGTATTGTTACACATGACTCTGTATAGGTGTTGTTACACATGACTCTGGCTGCAATATATTTTTCTTCCATTCTTTTACCACCTTCTGCTCCTATAAAAGATCAGATAGGTTCTTCTCTAAAAGGAGTGCCTTCTATGAAAAGAACTTACCCAGGTCAAACTGGCCAGAAATGTAGCCACAAGTCTGCCGAACTTCCTCACTGTCCCAGCCCAAGGGATAGAGGGCACAGCCAGCACCAATCAACAAGCCTGCAAAGAGATAAGTGAAGGGAGCATTAGCAGTGTCCTTCTGCATCCCTAGATAAAGATAGAATGTGTGTGTGTGGGGGGGGGTGGGGAGGAGAGGGAGGAGAGATATGGGGGAGAGATCAATATTAGCAATATAACAAAGGAGCATGGTATGTACTTTTAAGAAATTAGCAGTCACAGCTCTCTCAAGCAATCTAAAGTTAGATTCCAAGAACAATTTCAAGTCTGCTTATAAGGAAAAATGAAAACACACACACACACACACACACACACACACACACACACACACACCTTGACAGATGGCTTAGATTGGTTCCAACTTTGCCTTTCAAAACATCAAAAGCTTTGTTTTAGGAAATACAATCTTATTTAGGAATTAAAATCCAGAAGTCCTTTTAATTACTCTTATAAAAAGCCAACCAATTCCACCATCAATCTACGTAAAGTAATTCAATAGCAAGCAAAGGTGCTTAATAGATTATGGTTCCTCATTCATTGTGTTGTTTTTCCAATTTAAGAATCAAGATAGAATGTTCAGCATCATCAAATTTTACCATGGGCAGAGAGAACATAAAGATTTTCATAAATCACTTCAGCACATTGATTGTGCACTGTTACAAGGCTCTGTGGAGACACTGAAAATCGAGGAGCTCCACTTGTCTTAGAAATACCCAAGCAGACAGACACTTATCGTAATCTAAGTCCTCCTTGCAGCTAAGAACAAAAGGTTTGATGATTATGATTGAACTGAATAAAGTGATGGATTTATTTTAATATAGATTAAGTTATCACTGCAGCATACTGACCTGATAGTTTTCCATTGGCTTGAAGAGTCTTTGATTTTGCATTAAAGCCTCATATGTGGTTTAACAAGAAGCTGAATGAGACTTAAGCACCCACCATTGGAATCTGAGGGCTAATATAAAAGTAACATCTTATCACATCAATCAGTAAGTATTATCTTCACTTGGAAGTCCCACAAGTGTGCTGGGCCAGTAGGACCAACGCATACAGTCTGATTGGTGAGAATGTCATCCTTGTCTGAGGGACTGTGGGTTATCAGGGGCTAAATGAGGGAGCCCCTAGATAAGAAAATGCATTGATATGGTAATGTAGAGGCAGAATGACAGGCCCCAATTGTACCTCGAAGAGACTTCCACTGTCTCTGGATTGAGTCTCTTCCTTTGGTCTTTCTTCCCTCTCTGGCTTTTCTCCCCACTGCCTCTTGAGTAGTTGTAATTCATACAAACAGTATATTTTCTCACAGGCACCACCCAACACCCAACCTCTATGCTGAGCAGTATGGAGAGAACTTCCCCAGAAACTGACACACATTCCCCACCTGGTGGCCCTACCTCCAGTCTGCCCCTTGGTTAACAACAAAGCTAATATCCAATGCAAAGGGGCTGTGATAATGAGGGAACATCTGCAAAGAATCATTGAAACTGCAAATCACTAATCCTGGATGTCGCATGTATAAATATGAATTGTACTGAGGCTGAAGAGTCATTTAGAAGGCAGTTATAGGAGGCTTTGCAGACTAAGCAAATGTTCCAGTGACTGGTTTCCTTAAGCTTTTCCTCTCATGATATCATTCACAGCATTCTTTTTTTAAAGCATTCCATTGTATCTATCTATCTATCTATCTATCTATCTATCTATCTATCTATCATCTATCATCTATCTATCTTTATTGTGGAAAGTATTACAGATGCTCCCTTTGTCCCCGAACCCCATATTGACCCCTTCCACCCTCCACCCACCCCTCCCTTCCACACTGTTGTCTGTGTCCACGGGTTATGTATATAAATTCCCCAGTTAATCTCTCACCCCCCAATTCCCCCACCTTCACCTTCCCTCTGAAATTCATCAGTCTGTTCCATGGTTCTATATCTCTGAGTCTATTTTGTTCATCAGTTTATTTTGTTCATTAGATTGCACATATGAGTAAGATCATGTGATACTTATCTTTCTCTGACTGGCATATATATATATATATATATATATATATATATATATATATATATGGCATTTTTGTAACAATTCCAAGTTTTTTTTATCCAGCTTCAAGTGAAGAGATAATTAATGAGGATATAAATGTTTGTGTAAACAGAATTCCAAATAATGTGACATAATTTCCATGATATACTGACATCTTAAATTAATAAGTAACACTAGTTTTTGAGATCTTGTGAGCAACTTTTTAAATCAGAAAGACAGTTAAACCAGAAGATGTTCAAGTGTAAGAAAAAATGAAAAACAGTAACCTTTAAAGCATCATTTTCTTTTTATCTGATAAACAAATAAATGATAGACAATCTTATTTGCTAATGTTCTTTTTCAGTATGGCAGAAAGTATGTAGCATGTGTTCATGAAAGCACATGCCTTGGTCTAACATGACTCTAGGCACTTTGGGAGACTAAATCAAAAGGAGCTTAAAATGCCTACAATATGGAGCAAGTAGACCTAAGGTTGTCTAAGTGATAATACATTTAGCATCCAGGGATCTTTTGTAGAAAATTGGGCTGTCTGTGTGACACTGTGAAATGCAGGTTCAACCACATAAATTAGGAACCATTTCATACACAGGACATTTGTATTATATGCATGAGTTTTAAAAAAATACTCTTAAATATGCTCACATTAAAAAGAAGTGTTCAGTGGAGGGCAACTGCCTTCCCTTGATTTTTATATTAATATTTATGCAGTTTTTGTTTTGTCATCTGCTAATATTTGCTAAGAGCAAAGATTCTGCAGATTTCAAAGAAAAGTGTATGTTGCAATCTGATCAGGCTAATTAACTGTCACAGTTTATCAAGTTCTGTAGGTAAATATTAGTGGTCTCCCCAGCTACCTTGCTACCATTGTATGTTAAGGTGAAAGCAAATCTCAGAGTGAATTCAACCAAATATACAGCAAATGTTTATTAGCAAGTTGGCACAAAAAGTAGTCAGAGGCTGAAACTGGTTTAGCTCAGTGGATAGAGCATCGGCCTGTGGACTGAAGAGTCCCAGGTTTAATTCCCGTTCAAGGGCATGTACCTTGGTTGCGGGCACATCCCCAAAAGGGGGTGTGCAAAAGGCAGCTGATCGATATTTCTCTCTCATTGATGTTTCTAACTCTCTATCCCTCTCTCTTCCTCTCTGTAAACAATCAATAAAATATATTTAAAAAAAAAGTAGTCAGAGGATCAATTCTCTTAGTTTAGTGAAATAATTCCCCCAACTCCATCAGATAATTGTACCTTGAACACACAAATACAACAAATATTCAGATGGCAGGATCAGGGCCACTTCAGGACAGACAAGGCAATATCTTCCATTTAATGGAGTGGCAGAGGGGTATAGGACCAAAGAGAGTTCTAGATCTACATTGCCCAGAGTAGTAGCCATGAGTTACATGTAGCTACTTAAGTTTAAATTTAAATAAATTAAAATTAAGTAAAACTAAAAATTCAGTTCTTCAATTGTATTAGCCACATTTTCAAGTATCTAATAGCCACATGTCTCTAGTGGTTACCATATTGGATAGCATAAATATAGACCATTTTCATTTTTGCATAATATGTTATTAGGGAGGGCTGTTTAGGACCTAAAATACCACTTCAAAGAGATGCTGGCCTGACCAGATTCGTATATGCTATGCCTGCTTCTGTTTGTTAACAATCAAAATCATCCCTGCTCATTCAGATTCTCACTTTCTAGGTAGTGCTAGAGGCCAGGAAACTATATTTCAAAAACTCTCCTCTTAAAAGAAATTCTAGTTCATATTCTGTCAATGAGAAGCCCTCAAGTGGGATTTAGAAGGTAAAAGAGATAAACCATATTCCCCATCGGCAGCTGCAGCTAGGAGCATGTTGTTCTGCAGACAGTAGATGTGATTTCGCAAATGACTACCTGGAATACCCTTAGCATCACCCACTAAGGACATGTCATCAACTGCAGCTTCTTTCAATCCTTGCATTTCCTGAATTCCTGCATTTGTCTCTGAACTTCACTTCCCATGACTTTCAATAGGTCTTTGAAACTTGTATTCCTGGGCTATATCTCTTCCTACTTGAAATATCTAGAGTAGTTCCTTTCACTGGCCAAACCCTGGCTGGTACATGTTCAACTGTTCAAAGGCAGAGGGACTGATGCATATCTCTCTATCATAGTCTGTTACTTGAATATCATCCATTTTTTCAACTAGTAATTGTTAGGTTTGATAGGGCAATTGAGTTGATACCTCTTCCCTGAGAACTGGTTTTCAGGTCATTTCACTATGGGCATTCCCTTTGCTGAGACCACATCTCACTTACGGTGAACACATTCATTATCTCCCCTCCAGGTATGCATAAAAAAGTCTCTGCCCAGAAAAAAGCCCGCCAAAAGTCCTTTAAAAGCCATTGACTCCTGTCACTGGGTACTGTAGTCATCCAGGCTCAGCCACCTGGTGTGCAGATGATCGAATAAATTTGTAATTCCTCACCACTCTGGTCTCGTGTGTTCCTCCTTCGGCAACCCAACATTTGGTGCCAAAACCCGGGAGGGTTCCACGCGGACGGGGAGCCGTTGACCTGGTTTCAGTCACCCTGAGCTTGCTACTCAGAGAGCAATAGGCAGTGGCAGATCATCCTGGGCTTACTTATGAATCCTACTTGGGTGATTCGATTGCTATCCTTGATCAGGCCTCCTTCCCTTACAGGGTTCCTCCCCAGCCAGCCAAGGGGGAGGATGGACTGGAAATCTCTCCTTCATTACGGACCCTCCATCCCACACCAGCCAGTCTTCTCTAGGTGAGTGATATTCCACAATTCCCCTTGTCTCAAGTCTTCTGCCCACTCTCATTGAGTTCTCAAAAACCTCTCATCTCGAAAGTCCTAGTGCTAGGCCAGAAGATTCCTCAGTCATTTGGCTTTGGTTCCTTCTGGATTGGAGATGCCCAGTCCAGAGGGTCACCTCTCATTTCTCATGGTGGTTTGTTTAGCAGCTGGGACACCTGCCCTAAAGTCACCTTT